CCTTTCATGTCTGTCAGTGTTTACTTCATATATTTGGGGGTTATGATATTGGGTGCACATATGTTCATAGAACTATCTTCTTAATACATTGAACTTTTATCAATACATAAGGTCCTTCATCTTCTGTAACTTTTCTTAGTCTATTTTTTTTCCTGACAAAAATATGGCCACCCTATTCCACTTTTGGTTACTATTTGGTTGGAATATCTTTTTCTGTTCTTTTACTTTCAACCTCTTTGTGTGTGTTTGTATCTAAAGTGAGTCTCTTGTGCATAGTGTATTGATACACTATTTTTTAATCATCCTTACAATCTTTGCCTTTTAATCAGAGACTGTGAAATTTACATTTAAATAATTACTGATAAGGAAGGACTTAGTTCTGCCAATTAGCTATTTATTTTGTTGCAGATGGCTTTGGTGCTTTGAATCCTCTGATACTACCTTGTTTGGCAGTTAATTTTTATTTTTTATTTTTTTTTTGTAGTGTACCATTTTGGTTCTCTGCTTCTTTTCTGTGTATTTTTTAGTTATTTTCAGTTTCCGTGGTTTAAAGATTTATCCTTTTATTATTTCTAATGTCACTGGTTCTGTTTTTTAAATATTCTAATCTAGATTCTTAAATGGATTTTCTTTTTCATTGACAGGGTCATCCATATCAAAATGGTAAGAGGCAATAGAAGCTCATTAGCAGGCTGAGAAAATTGTTATTGCAATATATATTAGCAAATATATATAGCAAACTTACAATCTCCAAAGGTTTTAGTGCATTACTTTAGACTTAAGGAACATTACAGTGTTTTCTCCTCTTTTCTATTCAGTTTACATCTGGAACTTACTTTCTAATAGTGAGCTTAGATTCTGGGGTTTAGTTAGATAGGAATTTCCTTCAGCATCATTCCTAGCTGAAATCAAAAATTTCCATCACTGATCTAGAAACCACTGAACTCGCCATTTTTCTGTCAGACTAATACAGAAAGACTGTGACCAAGCTAGTGATTATAAAGCTGCTTGAATTTTTTATCTTTGATGTTGGGGAAGACCTTTCATTAGTGGCTTCTAAGAGAAATGGGAAAATTAACTTACTGGAAAAAATACATTTCCAGCATGTTACTACTTCAGAGATTATATGTAGGGGCTAGATGTACAGGTGCACAGTTGTGAGAGGGAGGCAGAGAGATAAATAGGAGGGACTGAGATAGGAATAAAGATGGCTGCTCCCATTGCTTCTTCCACCTTAGCCCTACTGCAGTAGAGATGCATGGACATATCATAAAAATGAACTAAGGAAAGCTTGGCATCTGCCAACAGTCTTGGATGTTTAGAAAAGGATGGCTCCATTGGACTCTGGTTGGAATATGGAATTCGAGTGACTCCAGACTTGGGACTTTTGCAGTACTCTTGAGTCTTTCCTGGAACAGTGCTGATTAAAAGAGCCACAAAAGCTTCAGTCATTTCCCCCAGCTGTATTGACACTAGTTCCATTCATATAGCTTTCATCTTGTTTCCTTCCTTGTATATGTATACAGCAAAGGTTGTCAAATAATAATTGGCTGATATGTCAAGGGTTAATTTTATGTCTACATCATCTCTGGATGATGTTTGTACGTAGTTTTTCTAGAAACTCTGAAAATCAGCAAGAGATTGCTTTGGGCCCGCTCCAGCCATCTTGCTCTTCTACAGACTCCTAGCCAATCATTCTTTCATTACTCTACCATTATCTGGAAGCTCCCTACTTCCTTTGAATTTATACTGTGTTGCTACTAATTCTACATTATTATCTCATGTGATGATGATTTATAGGCTGTTCTCTGTAAAGGTAAATCCAACAGTTTTTTGTGTTCCTAAAATGTTTCTTCTCTCACCTGTTCTTTAACCTTTCTCTTTTCTCTGCTTGTTCTTTGCTTCTGTCCTTCTCTTGGCCACTCTCTCATTCTTCAGGTCTCAATCTGATTATTTCTTCCAGAAGGCCTTCCCAGACCCATTCCCTATTCTGTCATAGACTGGGTTATTATATACCCTGCTGTTTTACTACCTTTATTTCCATTAGCCTTCTCATACTTAATCCTGTGTAACACTAATCATATTTTATTTCCCTCATTTAAGTAGTAAGTCCCATGAAGGAAAATATATTATGTCTCACTCACCTCTGTCCCTAGTACCTGATACATGTTAGGAAAATAGTAGCATTTGTTGATTGAATAAAGATACACCTATATGAAGAAATCTGGGTTGTAAGTAAAATTTGTCAGTTAAATTAACTTGGTCTTACCTCCTCTATCTGATATAACCAAAAACAAATACAGCAGTCAAAAATTGGTTAGAATTAGAAGATAAACTTCATCCTAACAGGCTGAAATATGTGACTTTAGAAACTTAAGAACTAACCCATAATCAACATATTCCTCAGCACACACTCACCGCTGGGAACACAGGACTGGAAATAAAGTCAGTATGGGAGAAGTCTAGGTAGGGCCAGCTTTATAATGACCAATAATCTGCTCTCACAGAAAACAATATATAGCAAATATGTTTAAGATTTATATATGTCAGGTAAGGTTCTGTGCAAAGATGTAGATTGTAAGTTTAAATTCTTTTGAAGTACGTACTGGTTAAGATAATGGTGTCTGTAATCAAAATGCAAGTTTTGAAATCTAGCCAACTCAGTGTCCCTGAAGCAGTTAGGAAACCACTCTGGGGCCTCCCTTTCTTCATCTGTAGAGTGGTATATGATAGTAGTTCCCTCCTAGGGTTGTTGGGAGAACGAATAAAGTAAGCCCTGTAAAAAGCTTAGAACAATGCTTGTACATCATAAGTAGCTTATAAATAGTTGCTGACATTAATTGAAATTATGTCATCTAGTGAAATAATAGTAAGTCTTAAGGTAAGTCTTAGGGACCTGACTCATCTGGGAGAGGGTCCCAGATGACCATGGTGTGTGTTCTTCAGTGTGAACCCTGTGGGCAGGGCCATAAAGTCCCAGTTAACCTTAGGGAAGGGAGTGTGCGTGTGGAGGAGAGGTGCCTGTGGATATTTAAACATAAAAGGGCATTTTGTAGATCTGAGTTGAACTATTTTATATATAAACGGCTAAACAAATCTGTTCCCTTTTTGAGAAAAGGTACCTGTAACCATTTTCAAATGTTTGTCGAGTGAATGATTTCCTACTCTACCTAAAGAATATGTTATAAAATGTATAGCTAGGAGTTTTGTGACCCTTTTTGGCACAATAGATATACTAAACGTGTCAGTCTAGGTCTCCCTTAATCTATTATTTTCCCCTGCCTCTCCTTCCCTGCATGCACACCAGTCTTCCCATGTCAGACACAGATGGAGACATTTTTTAACTCACCCATGAAAACCATAGGTAGGTCAGCTTGGAAGTGAGACTGGGTAGAATAATAACCTCTTTCATCAAACCTAGCAGTTCACATTCTCCTTTATCAAAAAAGTAGTCTAAAAGAAGAACAATGGTTAGGTTTTTTTTCCCTCCTTCATCACCTTTTCCTTCTCAATACAGAGCAATTAGTAGAATTTAAGATTTAAAAGATCACGGGACCATTTTTCAAACCCATTCCACTCTCCCAAATTCAACTTTAATAATTATATATACTTCTTTATGTAACTGTATTTAAAGTATTTTTTGATGTGCCATATTTAAAGGTAGGTAACAAGATAGATTTACCAACTTGCTTCCATATGGAAAAATTGAAGTTTGGGTTGTTGCAAGTAAATGAAAGAAAACCAACCCACTACCTCTGAATACCTTTTATCACAAAGTATTTATTCAACAAAAATAATATTACAGTAAAAATGATACATATATGAAAGTGAATGAAGATTTGCAATCATAGAAAAGATGTGTACAAAGAGACCAGTGTTCAGGTTGTATAGTTCTAACAAACTTTAGCCATAGCAGTTTAACACTGATCAAGTAAACATTAAAAAGATGCGGGGTAGGTAGGTGGGATGGGATTTAATATTCTTTGGAAACTGTTTTTTGATAAAGTATTTATTTATGAACACACACACACAGCATGAGGCAGCACTCTGAGAGTTATTCTTTCATATCTATAGTTCTCCCTGCATTAGAGCATTCTGATCCGTCAAAAATTATCTTCCCATTTCTAGTAAATGGATCTAAAGTATAGTTAAACACAGTATTTGGAGCAGGAAAAATACCAGGAATCAGATTTCTGGCCATTTTAATATTTCCAATCAGCATTTAATTTCAAAAGTATGTTAATTAAAAAGTATGTTAATGTTTTTTGGTTGAAATTATTGCACAATGACTTCTTTTAGTTTCTCTACAAGAATCTTACATTTTATATATATTATTTTATTTTACAATTTTTTAATGCTGTTTCTTTACTTAACATAGTTTTGGACCAGTTACTTAAAGATAGGCCTTGCTGAAATGAAATTGTAACACCAATTCACTGTTCCACTTTGAATGAGTTTGGTGGCCCCAGGCAACTCTCAGCTTCTCTAGCATACCTGTCCTGATCTAGAAAGCCCTGGAGGAAAGCATTCTCAAAGACCCTTTTAACTCTTCTAGCTCACACTTTTTTCTTTCAGTAATTATCAGTTCCCTGAACCAGCTCCTCTTATTTTAGTAAAGAATTAGCCTATGAGGGAGTGACAGTAGTGTTTATTTGTAGTTTGGAGCCAGTACCATTACTTTATAGTTAGAGGCTCATTGGAGTGATTGAGTTTTTCCCATAAAAGCATATGTCTCCACATAATATAGAGAAGCTCCATTCCAATTGAAAATCTGAATTTCTAACATAATTTCAGTTTTTAAAAATTCAAGAATGTGTTTTCATAGTTTATTGTTTAATCTTCACAATCCCTGCCATTTAACGCCTGGTTTGGATCAGCTATTTAGTCACATTTTAAGTTGGTTTCTGTTACTTTTTAGTTAAGGATTACAGTTAACCTAATTTTAAATGGCACTTTCTAGTTCTGTTATCTACTTTGGAACATTCCTGCTTTGTGCATAGGTGTGGTGCCTCTGGAATGGTGCCTACTGATTTTTTTCTTTTTAATAGAACAGAAAATGTTTCTTTTATCACTGTTCTAAACTATACTACACAAAAGAATTTCTGTGTTATATCTTCAGTTAGTTCCACAGTGATGAGATTCCTGAAGAATTTTGTCAAGTTTTCTTCCATTCTCACCATAAAAAGTAAAATACAAAGCAGTTTATCCTATGTCTCAGTTTCCACAAGCAATGCCTTCAATACCTATAGTACTGTATTTCTGTTATAGTACATTTTTTGATCCATCAAAAATTGTGAATATCTGTCCTTATGAAGGTTTTACAAAATTGCTTCTTTGTTGTTTAAGTTGGCACCAGTGAGCTGCTTTCAAAATGTTAATTAGGTTCCAGGTATTTAGAGAAACCCTAATTCCTATTAATAGAGTAAATATATCGTGTGGATGTGATTTTTCTCTTGGAAGAACCAGGGCTAATCTTTTGAAATTAGAATACGCTAACTTAAGAAATACTATAGTAGTTTAGATGATATGGACTGGTAACTTTTTCCATTTCAGATTTTTGTTAGGGAGGAGAAAAGACATTATGGACATCTAAGAGGCTTCAAAGTTTAAAAAATGCACTTTAGAACATTTTCTTTTATGAATGTTTATTGTCTAAATATGGCTTAGTTTATTTTTATAAAAATGTTACTTGGACATTACATTTACTGAATTTCAATTCAAAAGATTCTAAGGCAATTCTCATACAACTGAAAGCAAAAAGGAAAAAGTGATACGAATATGCTTTCATATTTTTGCCTACTTGTGAAAAATAATGAAATTCTACTAAAGAGCTGTTTGATAGTAATTTTTGTCTTTCAAACATTTTCTCTTAATACTAAAAAATATATAAATCATTTACATAAAACTAAATGCAAAGGAAGGCACAGCTGGTTATAGTGTGAATATAAGCACAGTTCAGCATACGCAGAATTAAGGAGAAAAAAAGGTTCACATCCTTATTAGTTATATTGAAAACATTAAGTTCTTCACTGTCAACAGTGCTCAACACTTAAGAGCTAAGAGGATATAAAAACAAAAACATTAAAATTCACTTAATGCAAAACAGATTTCCATATATACTTGAATATATAAAAAAGTTTTTTAAATGCTAACATAAATGTAGACTATCCATGATATGAAAAGTGCAAACCAAATTAACAGAGGGTTTCACGAAGTCCTTCTCATGACACAGGTAAACTAGCCCATGGGGACAATTTGATCAGTTAATGAGTTCTTAGTTGTAGCCAGACATCATCAGGATTTCTGAGAGCTTGAAGAAAGCAGTACTGGAGAAGCAGCTCTGTCCAGACTGGGGATTGGCACTGGCATGTGGCTGTTAAGCAGTGTGGGGAACTGCAGGGCACATACACAAAGAAAAAAAAAATTGAATAATTATTACATATCACCAGGAAAAACTTGGGTTCCTTACATTCCCAAACAGACCACAGTAGTTCAGTTCTCTCATCACCCCTGTAATGGAGCAGTTGCCAATCTATTTTATAGAATAATTTAAAGATGACAATTGCAAGATTACCTAGAACAAAGAAGAATAAGTCCCAGAAAACGATAGGCTACTAGAAAAAAGTACATAAATTAGATGTTGCTAAAGCATATTCAAATATTTTTAAAAGGTTCCAAGTTATCTAGGAATGCCAATCTGCTTTAAATATTGAGAAACTTTTTTTTTAAACAGACTTTATAAATCAGGAATTTCTAATAATACATTTTGGAATTTGTCATCTGCTTTTCAGAGTACTACGAAGATGTTTCTCAGTAACTTAAAAATATTTACCTTGAAAGATTTAGAAGAAATATAGAGTTGGAAAAGTATTTTCTTTGATAAATAATATCAAACTTATTAGAAAGATGACTCATAAGGAAAGAACAGTATAAAGTTAATTTCTGTACTGCTAAGCAACTAAGATGATAAATAGCAGGGTAAAGGTATATGTTGTAGTGACAAGTGTCAGGTCTGAAGCAAATGCATCATCTATGCTTCCAACTGAACAAGCAGACGAGAAGGCCTCCAATACTTGACTGTCTGCACCTAGATGTTTTATTGCCTAGGGTGATATGTGTCAAAATGATTTCCTATACTTCCTTGAAGCTTAATTCCTATTTAGTCCAGAGTAAGTTTAAATATTAAACTTCAAAACTAAATGTCAAACTACAGAGCCTGGCACCTATTGGAAGTACAACAAATATTTGTAGAACAAGTAAATATATTTTTGCAATGTTCATACTATTTCGGTAACTTATTTACGCCTGTGCCTTCTTGCTTATCAAGGGCTGTCATTTCATTTGATACCTACGGGCTATGAAGTAAGTTTTGTTATCTCCATTTTACAAATGAGAAAACAGTTAAAGTTCTGATTACCTAAAGGTCACAACTAATAAGCAGCACCAGCTAATTTTAAGCTCTGACTGGAATTTTTCTGTACTAAATTGCCCAACTTCTTATTTTGGCAGGGGTTAGGGGATGTCTAATTACTGTTTCAGTTTCTTTGATAGTTATTGGTATATTCACAGTTCTGTTTCTTTCCTGGTACTTTGGAATTTTAATTTTTTCTAAAATGTTATCCACTTCAATTGTGTTTTCAAATGCTATACATATATTTATACTCATATTTACGCTCCTAACCAAACCACTGTTGTCATTGACTTGGAGTGAACAACAGAAGGAGAGAAGGTCTTAAATTTTTATTGTTAATCTTATGTTTTGGGGTTTTTTCCATCCTGTTGATATTTTCAAAAGAATCCCCTGTAGTTTTATTAGTCTTCTCTGTTGCTTTAAAAAAGAGCTCTGATTTCTGCCCCTCTTATTTTTGTACACTCAGTTGTCACAGTTCTCAATTAGCCTGGTTTTATACTCATGTGTTTCTTAGTCATTTTTATTGGCTCTTTCCTACTACAGAAGTACAAGTTACAGTGAATACTGCAGAGATCCTACTGGTGGTCCAGAAAGTAGCTAAGGTCAGGGACACATGTCTGGCAGAAGCCACTAACAAAACTCGAGCCCAGTGCTCTAGATCTGGACCCCTGATCTTTGTCCCTGGATTTTTATTCCCTTCCATTCCCTGTCCTTTAGCATTTAATCTACAGAATAGGAATGAACAGGTCAACGCTATAGAGTCAGAAGGATGTTTAGCATGGCTGGCCTGAGATAACCTGGGGCAGCTTTAAGGAACCAAAAGGAAAATGTGCTTGATAGAAAGGCAGACCAGGTCCTGACTGAGAACAGGATATATGTTGTGGGGGTGGAGAGGGATCACTGTCCTTTTTAAGTTGCAGCATATACCAAGCTTCTGTCTGCCATACTTGAATTTGATGACCATTTCCATTTTAGATGTCCCCAGCCAATGCTGCTTTTCCAAGAAAGCTGTTCTTCTCTGGTGCTCTAAGTTAGTGAGAGTAGTGGTTAGGGATACAAACTAAATTTGGACCAGGGCTCTGCTACTTGTCAGTGTGTGATCTTGGGTAAACTGAGCAATGTCTCTGCCTTAGTTTTCTCATCTTTAAAATAGAACTACTGATAGCATTAAATGAGAAGCCATGAAGAGTGGCCCAGAATGTCTGACACACAGTAAACCCTCAATACATGTTAGCTGTTAAGTGTTATTACTTAATCATTTTGCCTCTTCCTCATATTTACTACCTACTTACTCCTAAAACCAAACTCAAGGTCTTCTCAATCTTGCCTCTGAAATGTCTTCCAAATTGATTCCTATGTCCACCATTCTGTTCTAAAAGATGACTGTCCCTTTAGTATTTGAAGTAGAGAATAATTTTCTAGTATTTGAAGTAGAGAATAGTTTTCTCCTATCTTCCTGATCTTTCCACTTTCTCTTGAATTCTTCCTTTACATGGATATCATACCTAACAGTGTAACAACGGATTAAAAAGGTGGAACTATTGAAGCCCACACCTCCTTTTCAGACCTCATCTATCATAGAGTCTCCTCCTGAGAATACTTTCCATATCCAAACCCAGGAGATAATTAAGTTCTAAACTATGCTTTGCTCTCTATCAAAATCCTGTCCCTTCTCCCAACTCAGCTCAGGTAGCACTTCTTCCTCAGAGTCTGTCCAGTCCCTGGATGCAAAGAACAACTCAGTCCCTCAGTTCCTGCAGCACTTTGTTTGTTTACTTTCCTGTTTACATTGTATAGCTCTTTCAGCCCTTGCTGCAGAACGTTGCAAATATTTACTGGGTTAGATTTATTGAACAAAAAATTTCAGCACACAGTCTCAAATGAAAATTTTAACTAGCTCCACCTGGTGTCAACATGTATCCGTACCTACTGGGTACATTTCCAATTTGATAAAAATCTGTTTGAAAAGTTGGAGTAGAACAGAAAAGTAACTTCAAAATGCCAAACTATCCAACTGAAAGACATTTCACTTTATTTGTAAATCTGCATCCTTGACATTCAACACTTAGCACAGTGTCTTTGGCATCTTGTCTCTTTACTGAAGTATTTCTAAGTTAGAAGCATACCTCTTCCAAACTGGCTAGTGCCTTTTCTTCTCCTTTGAAATTCTTTAATATCTGCTATAATGATTGTACATGAATGAACAGTGAGTGTACAGAATGATCGTGTGCAGAAACTCAGCTCTGGCAGCTATCAGGATTCCAGCCTACCTTTGCAAAAATCACAACAGGAAACCTGCCAGCCAGCATCACTTGAGTTTGTTGTAGGCTGAGTCTGGGTTTTTTTTTTTTTTTTTTTTTTTTTGCCAATACATTAATAGCGTGCATGAAAGAGGTTTGTTATTTTGAAAAGAGATGATTTTCATTAGTTTAAAAGAGACTTAATCATAATCTGAATGCTGAAAATTTATCATTTGTAATATCTAGTTTCAGAAAATCTTCCTCTTACCATGTTTTGTTTACCATTTTAAAAATTGCTACATTCAACTACTCTTTTCATTTGAAGAATAATATTTTTAAAAGTACAAAATTGTTTTCCCTTAGTTTCATGGATCCAACCAAAATCAGAGGGCCCAAGGCCATATAACCCATCCCATTCAAACTGGAATGTGTTTTTTCGGGGCTGCCTTTTGAATGGCACCAAGAGAAAAAAAACTGGTCTATTTGGTGAAATTAAAATTGAAACTCATAGGCAAGTAGCCTTTAAATGCATTAACTAAGCAGATGCAGTGGGACTTGGTTGTAATCCCAGTAACTCAGGGCTGAGGCAAGAGGATCACAAGTTTGAGGCCAGCCTCAGCAACTTAATAAGACCCTGTCTCAAAATAAAAAGGGCTGAGTGGGCGTGGTGGCTCTCCTTAGCTCATCATTCTTCCAGTGAGACCCTACATCTCATCTTGTACATTATGCTTCTGACACAGAGAAGGTACTTTGGCATATATTGACAAGCAAAATGACCAACTCAAAATTTTTTGTCAACTTTTGTTGACATTTCTTTATGAGTTTTTAGCATCTTTTCATTTAGACAGTCACTGATAATTACTGGCATCATTTGTAAACCAAGCAACATGCTAGATGCTGGGAAACACCATAGGGAACAGGATACAGTTCAGTCTTGATGGCACACAGTCTACTGAAGTTTGCCAGATTAACAGGCAAAATGCTAAGTGCTAAATGCAGTGGGAATGAGAGACCTGCAAACTAGTTTGCCACGAACCACACTGGGGACACAGGATGCGGTGTGGATGAGACAAGGCTAGAATTAGGTAGAGGGAGTTTGCACTGCGTGTTTATCCCTGCTTTATTCCTGTCCCTAGGATCTGTCCTACCTATACGCACATATACAAACAATAACAGCTTGAGTGGGTAAATATCAAAGAAAAAAATCACTAATATCCACATGATAGTGATACTACTGCAAGATTCTAGCATGTAAATGAATAATAAATATGTTTTCTGAATCCAGAGAGTTCTACAAGATAAAGCAACTAAGTCTTCATTGTTTTTTTAACCCAATGCCCTGGATACTTTTTTTTTTTAAATAACAGAATAAGAAGAACTTGATTATGATTCAGAAGTATTCAGGTAACTTTTCTACCCCAGTAAGGAGAAACTGCTATTTTTAGTTTTCAGTTTATTTCAAGTAAATCAGTACATTGAGTAACTAGATTATCACTTTGAGGTCTTTTATTAAATTTTTTTCTTGAATTTTATACTTTCCTAAAAAATTTACAGTTTTCATAGTCAAAATTAAAATTTGCAAAACACTTATTAAAGAACTAATTGTTGCATTTATGGACAGCTGACCTACATACACCATTTCTGCTTCAATAAAAATGTCTGCCTCTTAAAGAGTATGCAGCCCTGTCCCTATGAACACCCTTACAACTGAACATATTAACCAAATATTAGTTAGAAACCACCATCTTAAGCCTCTGCAGGATTGAGAGAAAGGATATCACTTAGAAGTTCTGTTAAAAAGTTCAGTTCCAAATGCTCACCTGGAACAACGTGTTTGGCCCTTGCAGCCTGGCAGGACTCAGTGGAGCGACCGGACTAAGGCTGCTCCAGAAATGTATGCTGGAGAGCAGTGGACTCGGGGTCAGAAGCAATCCATTTGGTGTCTGGGAAATAAAACAAATAGTCAGTTCTTGGTAAAGGTTCACCTGACTCTAGCTGTGATCAACAGAGCAGAACAGTGGTCAGGTTCACTCCCATGGCCAAGAAGCAAACCTCGCCATCTTGAGAAAGCTAGGCAAGTTTATTTCTGCAAGGCGGTGAACAGTTTAAATTTTCTTCAATGCTAATTTTATTAGCAATTTATAGAGGAAAAGAGGTATTGACATTCTGGTGGAAAACTCAAGTTTGTAGCAACTTTTGTCCAAAAGGTCTTTTCAACTTGCTCCTCTCCTAAATTAAAGAAAATTTAATATACAGGCAAAATAGGACCCCAGGAAGGGGCTTGATTTTTTTATTGAATTGTTTTTTTACAATGGAAACTCTATTTAGGTCACAAACACACGAGGACACACATACACATTTTAAAATTATTTCTTCACACCTTGCATTATCGACCAGCCCTTTAATAGATTCTGCTGTTAAAATACCCTACTGCAGCTTCTTAACAAGCTCTCAGCTGGGTTTTCCAGATTTTACTCTGGAAGTGGGATTGGTGAGAATTCATTACTCTGGCAATGGTGAGGGGAGTATGGGGGCAATTCTTGTCAGGTTGGATGCAGACCCAAAACTTAAAAGAGAGTGCTATGCTGGCATTTGCTTTCACACAGGCAGCAGGAGTCCTGGCCCACAAGCCAGAAAGAGGACAAGAAACAGCCTTCCCTGGCTGGTGAATCTGCAGGGCTTTTATTCTCAGCAGAGGCAAACTCCCCAGCCCAGGGTGGTTTTGCACCTCTGGTGACTAGAAGTCCCTCTGTGGATCTGTGGTGTCAATACAGTGCTTTGTGTGAGAACCATAGCAAAGGTGCCAGCATTTCAGACTGCATCATGCTGGATGCTAACGTGTTATTTTTCCCTAGAATTGGCCTCAGCAACTTCATTAATTATCAAGAGCATTTGGGCTTAAACCTGAATTGAAAGGTCTGCTCTGTTCAGTGGAATAGAGACAAATATCTAAAGGTCTTCAAATCATGAAGTGCTGAAAGGTAAACAAGTTCATACCAAATTATTTGACTCTGGCATTTCCTACATATTCAATGACCTATGAGGTTACTAGAATAAATACATGTTTTGAATAAGCTCTTCATTTGTTTTAGTCAAGGCAATTTTGCAAGTATGCCAGGACCATCTGGCTTAACTGTTGAGAATTAACAGCTCAGCATGAGCTCTGCCTGGGTTCCAATCTCAGAACCATACTTACCAGCTAGGAAACCTCAGGCAAGCTACCTAACCTCTGTGCCTCAATGGGGAGAATAAAAATTAGCTATATTACAGGGTTGCTGGGAAGATTAAATAGGATAATCCATACAAGCCCTTAGTATGTTCCTGGCACCCAGGAATGTTAAATAAGTTTTAGAGACTACAGTCACACCCAGTGTTTAATAAATGTGTTTGAATGAATAAATGAATCAGTAATTAAAAGTCCGCCTTACTAAATATATGTCATCTATTTATGGGTGAAATTCTCAACTGTATATTGAGAAGTACTCATGCTCTGGAACAGATGGACAAAACTGAGTCAGCCGTGCTTTCAGCTCAAATCCTCAGGCTCAGGTGACCAGAGAACTGGTATTTGCATGTTACTTTAGAGCCATGTTCCAACCACAGCATGTTATATTAACTTTTAATAACCAGAGTGTTTGGGGCCTTCTGGTTTATTCATCAGTGAAGGCTTCTCAAAGTCTAAAAGTAAAGACATTCTTCAGCTTGGCAGGGTGTCACACATGCCTGTAATCTTGGCAACCCTGGAAGCTAAAGTAGGAGGACTGCAAGTTCAAAGCCAGCCTCTGAAATTTAGCAGGGCCCTAAACAATTTAGTGAGACTCTGTCTCAATAATAATGAGTAAGGGATAAAGCTCAGTGGTAAAGTGCTCCGGGGTTCAATGCCTGGTACCAAAACAAAAAACAAAGACAAGTTTTTAAAACCACAGAACAGATACCTTTCTCTCAAACAAGACCAGAAATACACACCTATTGTTTTCAATCCTCTAGGTAATACTTAAGATTTAGAATTTAGAGGGCCAGGGTTGTGGTTAGTTGGTAGAGCACTTGCCTAGCCTGTGTGACACTGGATTCAATCCTCAGCACCACATAAAAATAAATAAAATGAAGGTTTTGTGTCCATCGACAACCAAAAATATTTTTTAAAAAAGATTTTGAATTTAGATTTCCATAATCTAAAATTGGCACCCATAACTGTCTGGATGTAAAGTGTTTGGACATTGGTTTCCAAGGGATACATACATCAGAATCCCCTGCCTTGTTTAATATGTTTGAAATGCCTTCTATAATGTATGCAAATAAACATGGTGAAATGACATCACCCACTCCTCTCCCACACATCCCTGTTCTCCCTAAAGACCGTGTGGCCTTAGAGAGCTGTTTGTTTGGTTATTTTTTAAAGGAAAAGTCCTATAAATCCTGTTCCGAGTTATCTCTGGAACAGTGTGAGCTTTTATAATCTCTCTCTGTATGTTTGTGGAGCCAGGCAGGCAAGGCTGACGGAGGGAAGGTGGTAAAGAAAGTAGCCACAGGCAAAACCCATGCTTTCTCTTCCTCTGCCTGGAATGCCTTTATTTTAACAAGTGGCCACAGGGAGCTCCTGATCCTGGAGGCTGCCAGGGAAGGAAGCAACTGGGCATTCATTTACAAGGGGAAGGACCCTGCTACCAGATCTCATTTTTCATCTTCTCCACTCAATTCTTCTAGTTAATACTGAGTCAACTAAAAAGCCCACGTATTCTCCAAAACAAGGTGAGTTGGCCTTGTCCAGACTTGCCCACCTGGGCCCTTGCCCACAGCCCATTGCCTGAATCATGCCCTCCAGTGCCCTTTTCTACTCCTCCCTCCCTTTGCCCATCAAAATGCCACCTCCTCAAAGGAGACTTTCCTCATCTTCCCTCATCCAGATGGGCTTTCTCTCCCATTGTATCTTTAGAACACTGTAACCAATTTTTTTCCTTAACATTTAGCATGTTCTGCCTCATGGTAATTTGCATATATTTCTGCTACCACTTTCTATAGTCCTTAAAAGGTATTTGCTCATTGTTATTCCTCCTGTAGTACTCAGACCCTCAATATTTGATAGGCTGAAGCCATCTGCAACTCTGGGTATGTCCCATCCTGTGCCCTCACTCATCACTGTCACCTCTATTTGCAATGCCCTTGTTCAAATGAACTCATCTTCTTTCCACATCCAGTGCTTCTTAAAACTCATCATTTTCTGTCAGTCATACCATTCATCCCCTCCATGAACACTGGCTGAGAGGGCAAGTATGTTTCAGGAGCCAGCAACAAGGTTGCTATACTCATGCTCTGTCCACCACCCCAGGTCCCCGTTGCCAAGATGCTAATACTGTGGCCTCTGGAGCCTTCTAGAATTCACACTTCTGGGGAGCTCCTCATTCCATTCCTTCTGCATTCAGGCCCCTGGCACTTTACAGAAGGCATCCTACCACAGCTACCTAACCCAGTCCACCTGCCTCAGGTCCCACTTCCCCATTGGTTCTACACACTGCCACCAAACTGTTACCTTAAAACAGCATATTCCTTCAAAAGTCACAGTTTCAGGGAGGAAAAAAAAAAAAAAAAAGAGACTCCTTAGCTTCAGTTCCTTAAGTTTCCCCTTAACCTGGTTTGGGTACTTCCTAACTTCCCTAGGTGAGCATCACTTTGCTTGATGTATCCTGAGCTCCTCTAACACACTCAGAGAGCCACAGAATTCTAACCCAACAGTCATCCCACAACTTCCCTGACCACCCAGCCCCTAGTTCCCTGGACTGCAGACCCTCTCCAAGAGTGACAGTATCCATTTCCATGATTTGACCTTCCCTCACATGTCGATGACTCCCTACCTTCTCTTCAGCCCCAAACTCTCCTTCGCTCCAGCTGCAGCTGGATATTTCTACCCAAATGTCCTGTGGCCTCCTCAAACTCAATATGGCCCCAACTGAACTCAGCTCTTTATGCATAAGCTTACACTGGCCCTCACCCTCTTCATACTCAACTTCCAGCTTACTCCCACCCCCAAGTTGGTCCCCATGTCCGGTTGATGGCATTCCTTAAGTCTCTCAGATCCACCTCCTCTGACCCTGTCCCACTGTTCACAGCCTTTCATCCTGACAGCCTTTTACCTGAATATTATGATAGCAACCTGATTGGATCCGGCCTCCTCCTTCCCAATCCATGCCATCTGGGTGATTTCTAAAACGGTATAGACTCGTGTCCCTTCAATATTGGCTACTGACTTATCTCCTGCACTCCCCTTTCCTTCTGATTTATCCTCCAGTCTTACTGAGCCACTGCACCTCCCCAGTGTGTCTTGTCTCTAGCTGTTCCTTGCCCATAATGCTCTCCTCACCTCAACTGCCAGAAAAATTCCTCTTGATTCTTTGACACCCAGCCCCCGTGCAATTGCATCCCTTCCATGAAGTCCTTCCTCCCTTCCTCCAGCAAAGTTAATGCCACCTTCTTAGTGTTCCTTGAATGCCTCAGTATCTTTCTGTATTGCATATGAGATGCTATATTAAGTTACTTGAGCTAAGTTATGGGCACCTACCAGGGACTATTTATCCATGTTTTTATACCCAGCTATAAGCACAGCAGCTTATACATGATAGGTGCTCAGTTCATACTTATTGAATTCAGTTGACGTGCTTCCCTGCATGGGTGTATCTGATTCTTGTCAAATGTTATCTTATGTGTAAGTGTCTCGTTGTTTTATGGATAGGTTCTAAGGTCATAAAGAACACTTGTACTTCTGGTGTCTTTTCTATGTCTTGCAAAAAATGAACACTCAATAATTATTTGTTGATCAGTTCTCATAAGGAATTTTTGTTTCCCTTTAAACTCATTTCCTGTCAAGTCTAAATTCCTCAGTTTTAAGGGTCCTCCATAAATTTACACCACCCTAAATTATATACTACCCCATATTCTTTACCTGTTGGACAATAAGCTTCTGAGAATAGGCCTGTGTCTATCTATCCTCTGAATCTCTAGGTAGCTAAAGGGCCTAGAGGTTTAGTCATTATCTCCAAAATTAATTAATTAAAAATGGTAGGCATCTGGGGGGCTGGGGTTGTGGCTCAGTGGTAGAGCAGTCGCCTAACATGTGTGACACACTGGGTTTGATCCTCAGCACCACATAAGAAAATAAACAAAATAAAGGTATTGTGTCCATCTGCAACTAAAAAAAAAAAAATTAAAAAAATGGTAGGCATCTGTTAACTTGGTCAACTAAAGAGGATATGGATGAGCTGCTAAACAAGTATTTGCAGGAAACTAGTAAGTCATACAGGCTTTAGGAAAACTGAAGGAAAAAAAAAGTCTACTGAGCAGCTGTACAAACATCTCTAATCTTATACTTAACACAGATGCCGAGAGAATCCATGACTGCCACCTTGGGATTAAAAAACAAAATCTCAAAGGTGACTATGAATCTCTAGAAACCCCTACAGTAGTCTTGATTCAAATTAAGATATGGTTTTAAGAACTTTATCCAAACTTCCCACAAAAGTTTGTGTAGCACTGATCTTAAGGAAAAGGGGACAGAATGGAGAATCTCATATGGATGTAGAGTAGACATGGAAAGTGTTAGGAGAAAAACTGGGGACAAGGCAGTAGAACTATGAAGGATGAACAGAAAAGGCAAGGAGAGGGGAGAGGAGGCAGAGCCCAGGGTTAAAAAAAAAAAAAAAAGGTCTGTTGAGCAGATTGTACAAACATCTCCAATCTTATTAAACTTAGATGCCAAGAGAGTCCATGACTGCCACCTTGGGATTAAAAAGAAACACTCAATAAAAGGTTGCCATGATGGGCTGGGGTTGTGGCTCAGTGGTAGAGTGCTGGCCTAGCACATGTGAGGTCCTGGGTTCGATCCTCATCACCACATAAAAATAAATAAAGGTATTGTGTCCAACTACAACTAAAAAATAAATATTTAAAAAAAAAAAAAAAGGTTGCCATGATCTATCTGGGCAACTCAGAACTGGAGAAAACCAAGAACCACCTCCTGGAGTGACACCCCCACTGCACAGAGCTCTTCCTGTAAGAAATCCTCCGCCATAGGAATGACCAATGGAGAGAGCTCAGGCTGAGCTGGGGAAGTGTTGTAGAGAAGAAGAAAGTTATATTCCCCTGGGGAGAGGAAAAACAAACTTTTTCCTTTTAATAGCAGTGGCAAAAGAGATAGTAAAATGAGAAGCCACACCCAGATCCATAGGCTAGGGAAGGAAGGTCCCTACCCAGGGACAGGCTGCCCTTTTCTCTGACTACTGCTCACCACCCACATCTATGCTGCTCCAAATTCTCACTTTCTGACTTTGGCTCACAGCTGTTTCACCAGCCAGTAACCAAGGAAGGGAGTTTTAGCATTTTGGACCTCACTAGGCTGTCTCCACTCCATCATTGCTAATCCTGGGCCACTGCTTATAAAACATCCTGGGGCATGCATATTCAGACCTTCATGGTGAATGCATGCCCAGTGCCCGCACATATCTGAGTTCAGCATCTTACACAGCACAAGTGATGTTAACACAGGTCTTGGCATACATGAGGGGAAATGAAATGTGCCAGCCTCAGGTTCTGAGTTAACTTTACCTTGTTAAGATATGATGTGGGAGAAACTGCACAGAAAGCAGACAGTAGGAAGAGGGAGAGATGATACAAAAGACAGAATCACAAGTTCCAGCTGGCACCTCTCCGGCTACCATGGTGCCTGGCCAAGGACCAGGAAGGCTTCACGTCCTGGCTCGTCCCCCATCTCAGTTTCAGTAGCCTGTGCCAACAGACACATCAGCCTTGCTTTTCAGCAATTCTCAACTGTGACCTTGGCAGCTGAGCTCTAAGGTCATCACTCCTTGGTACCTAGTTGGCTTTTAAGTTTTCCAGTCTCTGGTTAGTCCCATGTTTGAGGGGCTTTGGCTGACAGTCCTATCTACATTTAGAATCTTCTTTACAAACTCAAATCCAAGAGTCATCTCGACTGCACTCTGTACAGCTCCCAGCAGATGCGCCAGATATTTCTGATGCAAGCAGTGGTTGGGGGAGCAACAGAATGAGGCTGATTTTTTTTACGCACACTGTGTTGTGGATCCCAGTTTTTCACATCTGTATTTGGGCCTCCAAGGAGCATGCGGTTCCATAAGTTTCCTGGAGAGAACTGTTACCACATGCCACAGTCAAGCCCAGGGTCCTCCACCCTTCTTCCTGCCATGTTTGTAGCTAGAAATGACCAACCTTGTAGGGTATCAAGTTATTACATTTGTAGGGTACCAGGTTATGACAATATACCTTTCTTCTAAAACTAACTCTTGGGAAAAGTTTATAGGAGGTTCCCACAGGTTACCAAATGCCACGTGCTCACAGACTACACCCAGCATACCCCAGAGGAAAGGAGCCAGTGTCTGTGATGGATGGAAAGTGCTAAGGTTGCAAGGAAGCCATGGGAGAACAGACCTCAGGCTGAGGCCCAGTGAGACGCAGGATGCTAAGCTCTGCCCTACTGGTTCTGAAGGGTGAGCTAAAGGCAGCAGGGTGAGTTTCTGGGGTACCCCAGTGTCAGGGAGGGCTTCTCTTAGGACCCAGGACTTACATTGACTTCAAGCCTGCTCTAATTCTAAAGGGCCCAAGCTCATCAAGTCAAAGTAAAACCTCGTGAATATCCTGTTGGACCTCAGGTAATCACGGGGGGAGCAGGCTCAGATTTCAGCTTTGGATGCCACATGACTGGGTCCTGCCCCGTCTCTGCCTCTTTCCCTTGGCCATCCACAGCCATGCCAGGTGCAGTGCCTCAGTGAATTTCAAAGAGGGATTTAGGTCCAGAGGCTCCACTACTACCCTCCTTCCCCGCAAGCAGCGGTGACTCCTTTAGTTCTACCTGGTTTCCAACACTACCTCATCTTCCCTGGAATCTGGAGGCCTGCCCTCAGTCTGGGCCCAGCTTCTGCTCTCCCACCCTTTGCTTCCATCCTTCAGGAAGCCCTGATCCCATTTCTGAACTTCCTGGCACTAACTCAAGGTTCGTGGCCCCACCCTCACAGTTCATGCCTGCGGAGTGTTTGCTCCCAGCTGCCACTGCACGGGTCCTCCATGGCAGCCTGCCTTTCACACTCTCTCCTCCATGCTTTGGGCCTGCTAGTGAGTACTGTCCCTTGAAACTGCATTGTTTCCGTTAATGTGCATGCACCCTTGAGATCCCTCTCTCCCTCCTCTCCCTAGTCCAGCTATACCACCCTCAGCCCCACTGAGGGGAGCCACCTCCAAGTTCACAGCATGCAAGTCCAAAAGCCCAGGGTGAGGCTCAGCTGACTTCCTCAGACAGGGCTGGCATGATGGTTCAGGCTAAGAGAACAAGACACTGAAATCGGTGGCCTCGCCCAGGCCTTAGACCCCTCCCAACTTCATGGCTGCAAACTTAAAGGCAAGGGAAAGAGTCGGTTAGAGGGTCCACCTGGGCTCCTTCCCCAGCTCCTTCCCTGAGCTACCATGGGAGCCACTGCTCTGAGCCATTAGGCAGCAGCAGGCTTTCCCACCAGGCAGTCTCACTTGGTTAGAGAAGGCCGGGTTTGGGAGCACCCCTTCCAATCTGCCAGTGAGGCAGGGACCCTCATGTCATGGCAGTACAAGTATTTCCAGCTCTTATAAGCTTGAGTTAGCAGGAAAGCTGTGGGAAGCCAGGTGGGGCTTTCAAGCTGCCCTGCAGACTCCCATAGATTGCCACAACAAGGGACGACATTTGGCTTTCTCCAAGTGGGACAGGAGAGAACATTTTACCTCAGGGCACACATTCACTCCTACCTACTAGCTGGGGGATGCTGGACAAGAAGAATCAACCCTGTCCACTCACCTCAGCTAGGCAGTGGGGTGTACACCATGGCTGCTAGGGACGCATGCAGGGGAGAGCTCCCCACCCGCAGCTGCTACTACCAAGGACAACCCTGTTGACAACAGAGCACAGCAGGAGTTCCTGCTCACCTCCCACGCATATCCATCGGGAGCCACAGAGCTCCAGGATAGTACATCCCCTGGGTAGCGGGAGCTAGCTCACCAAGCACCACCACCATCAGCTCATCCTCACAGTATCCATTTCACTTAAGAGAAAAATCATGTAAGGTCCCACTCCTAGGAATCTGGGATGCCAGGAACTGAATCCATGGGGATCCAGGATTGGTGACCCCCAAACTGGTACTCTTAACCTCATCCACTAAACTGTGTCCATGTTCAAGAGGAAGCAGAAACAGTTTGTCAGCAGCTGGACCAGACAGCTGCTGGATGTTTTCTTTGAAAGAAAAGGTTGCCTTCTCCCAGTTAACTGCAACCAGGAAGGACGTCTGCACCCCGTTGTGCGTTCCTCTTTCCAACACTTCCAAGAATCAACCTCCTGCCCAGGGTAGACCCTGAGTTTCTTATTAGAGACCAACGTGAGCACAGAGCTTCACACTCACAAATGCAATGATGGTATCCATGAACATGAACTTTCTTGTTAACAGGGAAAAATGGCTACTAAGTGCCCCCAGGCCCAAATGCTCCTGAAGTGTAAATGTGTCCCCTCAATTTTCCTTGGGAAATCATTCCTTACATCTGCCTTGACGGCCAGGGTGCTTGTTCCACCTATTGGTCCCTTTAGACCACTAAAAGCAAGAACCCAATCAAGCATCCCTCTGTTGTCAACATACCAAACCTTCTCTCGTTGGAAAACCTCAGTCTGAGGATGGAAAAGTACCTTCCTTTCCCATTTACACCATTTCTGGGAGAATCTCCTGAAGGGTGGAAGGAAGTGGCTTTGCCTGCTCTTCTTCCAAGCAGTGAGTCTGGGTGTGGTCAGGACCACAGGAAGCGCTCTTACCTGTGCAGTGAAGAAGGCTGGGGTGAGGGATCCCGAGGGCAGGGCTGGGCTGTTGAGAGCGATGGAGCCAAGGTCGGTGCCGGAGAGCACCAGCGGGGGTGCAGAGATTTCCAAGCCTTTGGGCTTTTTGCCCTTTGGGGGAAGAGATGGAGACTTGGTCTTGGAGCCTGACGACAGGTTCAAGGGCTCCAGGGAATCCGAGTCATGGCAGGCAGCCTCCAGGAAGAGGCTTCTGTGTTCAGAAGGGAGCGGTGAGTTGGGGGACAGGGATGGGGACCTAGAAGAGGAGGGTGAGGCCGAGGAGATGCTGGCAGCATTTGGCAACATTAAAGAGGAGATCTTGGCTGAGACGGACGAGGCCAGGAAGGCAGACGCCGCAGCAGCCTCAGGCGTGGAAGGCAGGGACACCACCGGCCTGGTGATGTGCTTCTCGGTTTTATTGGTCACAAACCTGATCACAGTCCTGACTTCTTCCACAGGGGGACTGTCCTCAGGCGGCTCCTCCAGCTTCTCTGTCTTGATGGCCTTGAAGGCCTCCGGAGGGTTCTGCAGGGAATTAATGGTGAAGGACGAGTACAGGCCTGAGTGGATGTATTCATTGCGGCTCGTGCTTTTGAGGGCGGACAAGCCGTGTTTGTGTGCCTCGCGGCCCTCGGGAGGCACCTTGCAGTCACTGTCCTGCAGCAAAAGGCTCTCTCGACTGATCTCCACCGCGTGAGGATCCATCTTGAGGATCTCTGGGAAAGAGACGAACTTGTACACAAACTTCTGCCCAATCACCTTCTTGATGATATTCTGCAAATAAATACAAGAGTAGACATTGAAAACGTGAGTGCACCCGAGATGGCACACTGTCATGGCCAATGTTGCCAGAAGATGCCCCCAAATATCCCTGATGAGCACATGCTGGCTAAAGAGGAGGGGGAGGAGAAGTCAGAGGCCAAAGGACCGGACTTGCTTTCCCATTCTGCCAACTTCAGCAAACTGCCGTTTGTTGTTTCCTGGTCTGGAAAGTGAGGATGATTATTCCCAATGATACAGTAACAGTTGCTATTTAGTAGGTAATTACTATGTGGCTGGGATTGTTCATACCTGATCTCATGCAGTATGAAAAGCAATCCTAGGAGGAAGACGTTAGAATTCCTATTTCAAAAGTTAGGAGGACCGGGGATGTGCCTCGGTGGTAGAGTGCTTGACTAGCATATGTGAGGCCCTGGGTGCCATCCTAGCACTGAGAAAAATAAATGAATGAAAAAACAGGAGATAAGCTTAACCCACTTAAATAACTGCACAGCCACCCACCAGATGGGTGGTAAGGCAGCCTTTGCAGAACCATGATGTGGTACTGTCTTATCAGAAGTCAAGAGAAGCGGGTGAGACAGTAATGGGGAAGCACCCTGCAAACTGTAAAGAAAGACATCATCAAATGCTGCCATGTTTTCTCAAGTCACAGAGCCATTGTTGCCACTGGAGGAAAAACCAATCACCTACTTAGACATCTGTGACATTCATATGATGTTCTAAGTTCCTTGTATCTGCTTCAGGCTCTTCAATGTATCAACCCTCAAACATTAAAATGTAAACAAAAAAACAACAATTGCTGCAAAAGTTGAGAGCTCGTAAAGGCTATACTGTGTTGGAGATTTATGAAATCGATAGATAAATTCCCTGCAGAGCCTTCCATATTTCACATTTATCTACCAAAGGCTTGCTGTGTATCCCACTCTGTGTTTGACTACCGGGATCCCAATGCTCAGGGGAGACAAAGATGTACCAAGAGCTAGCACCATTCTAGAGGGAAAGGACTCTGAATGTTTCTTTGTAAACTGTTCCTCCTGCAACTTGGGTACTAGTTTCAGGAAAAATAAAATCATCTGGAGAAAAAGAGCTGTAGAAACAGCTCCTACTGAGTGCCTTGCTGTTCTGGTCATCCTGTGCGGAGGCCACCCCTCAGGGTCCCCAGGCCCACCTTCTTGGAAAGCAAGAGGTATCATGCTTCCACCTCCAAGTCATCACAAACTTGGAGACAGGGAGTCATCTGCCCCAAACCACCAAGATCTACTGGTTCTAAAGCCCGAGGCTTTTCACATTTCCATTCAAATGTGGAGGGAGAGCATCAAAGGAAACCCCTAGGAGAAATGAGATTGAATGAAGTTTGTTTCTTTTGCAAACATGGTTGGGTTCTAGATATAGGCATGTTGAGGTTTTGCTGTTCTCTTGCTACATATGGCATCCGATCTGCCTTTTGCTCCCTTAAGTGAAACAGGAAAAGGTGCATTTATCATGCCAATGAGATTTTCAAGAAAGGTAACTAAGAGAGGGACAGGAAATCCCACTCACTTGAGTCTGGGGAGGCCTTGCTCAGCACCGGCACTCAGGGGACACATTAGACTGGATTCCAAGCTGCACCGTCCCAGCCTCATGGGCCCTGGCCTGTTACCTACACCACACCATCCCACTGCTCCAGGTGACCTCATTCCCACACTCACACTGGCACACCTTCAGAGAACTGGGGAACTGAAAAGTTCCACCTGGGCCTGGCTGGCAGCTCTGCAGGGGACAGCAGCAGCTGGCGAGAGAATGTGCCAGGGGACACCAGTTCCCAGCGGGAAGAGATTAAGGGCGTCACAGACCCCACCTGACCCAGTATTGGTTCCTATTAGAAAGTAAGCGTGCGGGCCTGGAGTGCTTCCTCTGAAAGAATTCTGGGGTATTTTTTTAGTTTACTCATAATATTTTCCTCTCTAGGGAAACACTCTATTTTTTCCTCAGCCAGTTTGAACCCTCATCTAAATTGAGGTTTTTGAGCCTAAATAATTATACAGAAGAAAGCAAAAGAGAAACCATACATTCTGAGATTTTTCTTTTGGCAAATATAATGTTCAAAAAAAACAAAACCCACTTTTCGTTTTCTTACAGGCTCAGAACATAAGGACTGAGGAAGGATTATATTCATGAGCAAACCAAGAGATAATTAAGGGCTGTGATAAGATTGATTTTAAAAAGTCTCTCCTTGTCAAAAAATGGTAGGCAGCTGAGCGTGGTGGTGCACACCTGTCATCCCAGTGAAGGAGGCTGGGTCAGAAGGATTGCAAGTTTGAGACCAGCCTCAGCAACTGAGCAAGAATCTTGACATCTTAGTGAGACCCTCTCTCAAAATAATAATAATTAAAAAAAAAGGGCTGGAGATGTAGCTCAGTGGGAAAGCAACCCTAGGTTCAATCCCCAGTCCCAGTATGGGCCAAAAAAAGTTAAAAATCCAAGAAAAAGGACCTGACAAACATCCCATGTGACTTTCGACTGACTAACGGATAAATAAATGTGGTGTATCTGACAATGGAATATTATCCAACCAAAAAAAAAATATCAATGCAAGCTACAGGAATGAGAATTCATTATACTAAGTAATTATAAAGGCCCATATTAAAATTCTGTTTAAATTAAATGCCCAGAATAGCAAAATCCACACAGTCACAAAGTAGATCATGGTTACCTAGGACCCAGGGGAATGAAGCAATGGAGGATTGTGGCTTAAAGGGTATGAGGGTTTCCTGTTTGGGGTGATGAAGATGTTCTAAAACTGATTTGGGTGATGGATGTGCAATTCTGGATAGAGTCAAAGCCACTGAACTGTATACTTTACATGAGTGAATTTTATGGCATGTGAATTATATCTCAATAAAGTTGTTTTTTAAAAAAAAAAACACAAAAGAATTTTGCATGTTTAAATGGAAGACAGTGGGCACCTTCTCCGGCTAGATGGTGACTGCTGCCACCTGCTCACCCCAACTCCGCAGATAAGGAAAGGAGACATGGGGAAGGGTCCGTATCAGTAGCTGCTGCTCTGCGGTGAGGGCAGGTCACCTGGGCAGGTTTCAAGAGCAAGTTCATGTGGTGATGGGCATGGAGCCGATGGAATAAACTGGCCAAAAGGAGGAAGTGTGGTCTTTGGAAACAACCAGGGTGGGTCTTGCTTCCTGGATACCAAAGGAAGAGGTGGATTCGATCTGGCTCCCAAAACCTTTGCAGGGGCTGATGGCTGAGAGTGGACCAGGGCAGGAGGACAGGAGGGTCACACAGACCTCACAGGTCAGGGGTATGCAGCCCAGCATGGCTGGGAGCTCAATGCAGCCCCAGGGATGCCTGTTCCCACGACAGCAGCTAGTAGGGAAGTCCTTCCACATCAGTGAGGATGCCTGCAGCTGGAGAATGAGAAAGAAGGCGGGTGGAGGGGGTGCGTCCTGGCAGCCAAAACGATAGCTTCCATGTTTTTTAGGGGGTGGTCGGGTAGTGGGGAGTACTGGGGATTGAATTCAGGGGCACTCAACCACTGAGCCTTACCCCCAGCTCCATTTTGCATTTTATTTAGAGACAGAGTTTCACTGAGTTGCTTAGCACCTCACTGTTGCTGAGGCTGGCTTTGAACTTGAAATCCTCCTGCCTCAGCCTCCTGAGCTGCTGGGATTACAGGCATGCACCACCGCACCCAGCTGATAGGTTCTTTTTACTTATCTTCCTGGGCAGACCCTGGGAATGTAGGGAGGATGGGTCATGTATGTTTGAAGGCCTCTGAGGTCTCCAAAGGGAAATTTCTCTCCAAGACTGTCTGCTGAGGAAGCTCATAGCATAAGCAACAGCTAGCACTTGCTAAGCACAGATTATCTGCCAGGGTCTGCTTGAAAAACCTGATGCCCATCCTCTCATTGAATCCTCCGGGAGACTGGAACCTTATTATGCCCATTGGAAAGATGAACACACCAAGGCTCCAGAAGTGTAAATTATGTGTGGTTACAAGCAAGCACGTGGGGAAGACAGAGGGCACCCAGGCATTCTGACTCCTGAGCATTTGGCCATGACGGAGGGTGATGCAAGTTAGCCCAGGACACCACAGCACTTGGGTAGGGTTCGTATTATGTTAAGTGATGAAGACATTTAGAAAAAGTCTGCTTTTCACCCCTTCGATCCTAGCCTCACAAGTGTTTGTTGCTTCTAGTTGCCTAGCAACCTGACAAATCTGGTGTGTGTCCAGCTGGGCCAAGGGATTCTCAGCATGGTTTGAGAGAGAGGGCTGCACATCTGCCTCCTTTATGTGCATGGGACCAGCCTCTCTCCCATGAAGTGAGTACTGGCTACCGGGGCCACCCCCACCTCCCATCTTCCCTCTCTACCTCCTCTGCTGTTGTTCAATTCTCTCCCTTTTTCCCCCCTCCACCTTGCCCCTCATAACCTCTTATAATTTTGTGTATCATTTTTGGTCTCCTACCATTTCCATATGCTTTCCCTTCTCTCTCCCTTTCTCTCCCCCCA